ACGGGCTCCAGGGGGCCGGCCCTGGCTCCGGGCGGGGCAGGACGAGCCGCTGTGGCTCCTCCTCCCGCGGCACAGAGCGGCCTGGTGGCCCGTGGGGCTTTTCAGACCTGCTGCATCCTCAGCCACACCAGCCAGCCTGGTGGGGACGTCAGGTGGCACACGCCGTTTCTACCCTGACGTCGGTCACCCCATGGGCTTCTTTCCACCCACTGCCCTCCGGGCTCTGGAACATCCATGCGTGGGGCTCCCCATCACGCGCACAGCCCCCCCTGCTCCGGGTTGTGGTCAAAGCTGCAGTGACAGTGGCTTTTCCCGCCGTTACACGGCTGAGCACACGACAGCGCGGAGCAGACACTCTGCTTCCCTGACGGCTGAGTTGACACCTCGGGAAGCGCCCAGCAAAGTCACCTTGCTTGACACATGCTGAAACTTGAACAATGGAAAACGCAGAATCCTACACTGACGAGGGACCGTCACCCTCAGAAGCTGGCTAACGAGTGCGCTCGTTCAGGATTGCAGTTGTCAGAAATAACTTTATCCGCTGATCCACATGGCGACCAGTCCTGACTGACAGTCACTGGCGGCTCGGAGCCTCCACAGTGCCTGCCCCACCCACGGGCGCAGGGCCACGCGCGCACCTGGGAGGTGGGTGGGCCAGGAGCCTCCGTGCCCACCACGTTACGTGCAATTCTGCCACCGTCTGTGCCAGTGACTCCAGACCCCTCTGCGTACTGACCTGTGGGCAGCCTCCTTTGCCACCACAAAGGCACGCTGCGGCAGAGGGAAAGCTCCGGGTAACGAACGGGGCCTCCAGTGTCCTCCGTGGGGAGGATGCCCGGACACCCGGTGCCCAGCAGAGCCCAGGACACGAGTGCGCGTGGGCCACGAGGCGTGAGGACGCCCCCGGGCAGGGTCACGGCGGAGGAGGCAGCGGGCACGGAAGCAGTGCCCACAGGGCACGTGGGGAAGGGACAGCCACGGCCGCTTCACAGACGCGGATGCGCAGGCCGCGTGGGGCCCGGCTGGACCCTGCTCTGACGCCCTGTCCGGGCTCCGCCAGAGCCGGTGGCCAGTGGAGGCCGCCAGGGAGCTCTGCGCCCTGAGCACCGGTCCTCACGCTGCTTAGAACAGAAGCTCTGGGCCCAGCACGGGCCCGAGAAAGGCTCCGGATCCACGAAGCCGGCGACTCCCCCGCTGCTGCCCCCAGCCCTTGACGCAGACGTGTCCCGGAGTACGAGCTGCCGACGCGGGCCGCCTCACACCAACACGCCGGGACGGACACGTGAGCGGGGGCCACCACGTCCGGCCTCACGAAAGCGGGACTGTCAGCTAGAAACCCCGCGCACGCAGACGCCTAGATGACCTCGAACTCCCCGACACGGGCCCTGGGCAGGTGCTCACCAGCTGGTTTGGGTACCGCAAGACCACGGGCTGGACGGGCACACCCGGGATGAAGGCGCCTGCAGAGAAAGGACACGCGGGACGTCACGCCTCGTGGCCGCAGATGCGGCCGGGGCTCCTCGCGCCTCCCACGGGCCTTGCTGGCCGGCAGTGCCCGGCGGGGTCCCCACGTCTGTGCTGGCAGAAAACGGGGCGACGGCCCCACCGTCAGGCCGCAGACCGAGTGCCTCCAGGCTGCTGTGCACTCGGGGGGAGCACCGGGCGGCGCTGTGGGAGGGTCTCCCCCACTTTCCCGAGGAGGAAAGGGTACAAGGAAGCGACGAACCAGGCTTGAAGGTGATCAGGCAGGTCCTGTTGGTGCACGTCCCCTCTGGGAAAATCATGATCTGGAAACGAAAGGGAACAGCGTTGGGCACGAAGGGACAGCTCCGGTCCACGGGGCCTGAGCCCCGGCGGCTTCGCTCCCGCTGACGCGCTTTTGACACGTCCCCGATTTCAGCTGCGCGAGCTGACGTGCGGCACGGAAGACACCTGACTTCCCGTCCAGCTCTGACCGGGGGCCGGCAGACAGGCACTCGTGGTCTCCGTGCGGCATTGTCGCGAGGCCCAACGACCGCACAGAGTGCAGTGCTGGCGACCGAGCCGCAGCGTGGAGTGGCCGCGGCCGTGGACAGAGCCCTCGGCTCACGGCCCCCGGGCGGGGCGCGGGGTCCCGGGCAGGCGCATGGGCCTGGGGGCCTGGGCCAGCAGCCGGAAACCCTGCGGCGTCAGCAGCTTGGCCGCACCGCCGGCACCCCACGGCCAGCAGCGGGGCGCCAACCTCCCCACCGCTGGGGATCACGGGCCCCGAAGGCGGGACCACCTCCTGGTGGCACGGGGCGGCGAGGGCCCGGCAGGAACGCTGGGGAGGAGCGGGGCGGCGGCCAGGGCACCCCATGCTTTCCGAGTGGCCACAGCCAGAGCCCAGTGGCACTTCCCCCTTCTCAGTAAATAAAGGCAGCGTGAGTCACACGCACACTGGGCTGATGCCGGCCAAGGCCGCAGCCTGACCCACACCGGCGGCTCAGCCTGGGACGGACGCCGACGCGGGTGAGGCCGAGGGCAGCGGCCCTTCCCGGCTCAGAACTTACTGAACCTTAAAATCTCAGAGCCAAAAGTACCCGATGCTCAGCGCGATCTGGGATTTGCACACTCGGATTGATGCGCCCAACCGCGCCCGGCCCCGGGCAAGGCCGGTGCCACCCTTTTGCTTCCCTGCTCCATCCCCAGCTCACAGCCTGAGGTGTGAACCTGCCCAGGTGTGCGCAGCCTGCCTTACCTGTGGCCACCTGCCGCCCGACTGAGCCCGTCTCTTGATCTCCTCCACGGTCCTTCTGCGGGAATCCTGGTCCAACCGGGACACGAAGACCGGCCGGATGTACTTGATCAGAGCTGAAAGGGAAGGCGAGGTGTCCTTGCGGGGGGAGGCACGTGGGGGGCAGTGCGGGGCGGGGGCACAGCTTCCGCTGCAGCAGGCTGGGCCGCAGACGAGACCCCCGAAGCCGCCAGCGAGGGCCGCTCCACGGGGTGGGCGGGGGTGCAGGCCGGACCCAGGCGCTTGGGAAAAGCAGCCTGGCTCCTGGTGAGCTCAGACAACAGCGGGGAGCCCCACAGCCTGCAAGGCCCAAGGTAACAACCCCGAGTGTCCACGGGAGGCAATTCAGGAGCGAGACCAACGAGGCCGACCCACCGGGGGGCAGAGGCCTCTGTCGCGTGCTGGCGAAGGGGGCGTGGGGGCCCCGGACTCAGAGGCAGAGGGCCCGGGCACGTCGTGGCTCCTGTTGTGGGTGGGACTGCGTCCCTCAGAGGGACAGGCTGACGTCCCAGCCCAGGTGCCCGAGGCTGTGACCTTATCTGAGAACAGGGTGCTTGCAGGCGGGGGTCATGGAGAGGCGAGGCTGTCTGTGGGGGGTGGGCTGTAATTGCTGGTGTGTCCTTGCAGGAGAGACAGACACAGACACGAGATGAGAGAATGCCACGTGACTAGCACACAGGGCAGTGACGTGGCCACGGCCGAGGGCCCCCGGGAACTGCCGGGAGCCCCAGAAGCTGGAGGGGGGCCTGGGGTGGATTCCCCGTCACAGCCAGACCCACCCACACCCTGAGCTTGGACTTTGGGCCCGGAATGGGAGAGACGGGCCTCCTGCTGCTTTGTGGACGGCCAGAGCAGGCCCAGGACACGCACACGGCCGGCCCCGCCGGTCGGCGGAGGCTCCACGGCCCAGGCTCCTGGCACATGGGCCCGCTCATGCAGGATTTGAGGAGGGCACGCTGCTTAGAGAAAATTTGGAACTGACTTCACACTTCAGAACTGGCAGCTGGCCCCTCCCAGCGGGCGACCTGTCACCACGCACCCAGCCAGCTCGGCGCCGCCGCCAGCTTCCGGCCTGAGTGCCCGTCACTTGTGAGGGCCACGTGGTGTCCACGCCTTCTCGGCTGTCTCCAAAGAGCAAGGAGGACGCATGTTTTCAAAAGGCATAACGTCTGTCTGGTCAGGGACGCGTGTTTTCAAAAGGCATAACGTCTGTCCGGTCAGGCCAGTGGGGCTGTAGCACCTGGGCCCCCCGGGAGCCGATGGTGCTCTCTCCCCCGTGTCTGAACGCCCCGTGTCTGAACACCCCGCCTCCTCGCCGCCGGGAGAGTTCTTCCTCCCGGCTGACCACCCTGACTGCTCAGACGATGAGGACGGAGGGGAGACGGCCTGCGCCTGCCACCCAGACGGGGTCCCCTCCAGAAACGGACCGTGCCAGACTGTGGGACTCGAGCACCGGTAGCAGCCGCCCTGCCGTGGCCCATGACAGCGGCCGGACGGGCCGCACCCAACCCCCCTCAGTGAGTCCACGGTGGTAGCGGCCACTGGGCCAAACGGACACGACGTCCTGGACCTCCTCTCAAAACGCCCCTTGTCAGAAAGACGAAGCTTCTGCAGTGTTCTCTCTGCAGCTGTCCGCGGATGCCAGCGTTTTAAGTGCCACGTGGAGACTCGGGGTGGTGGAGCTGGGGCCAGTGGCCACTGCCGTGCCCGCAGCCCCTGCCCAGGACCGCCCTGCTCCAGGGTCCGTGGGAAGGCCAGCGTAATGGGCGGAGGCGGGTGGGGAGGAGGGGAGCGGCAGAGGCCGGGCCGGGCAGAGCAGGTGTGGAAGGGGCTGGCACAGGCGCTGACCGGGGCACCGTGGACTCTGGCTGGAGCCAGGCCGGGCGTGGGAAGCTGTGTTCGCTCGCAGGTGCGGTGAGGGGCCACGTGGAGCACCCAGGACCCCTTCTAGTTCCCAGCGTGGTGAGTGTGCTCCGTGGTGACCCCCACAGATGGGCCCACGTCCTGACCCCCAGAACCTGTGACCGTGGCGTTTGGAGAAAGGGCTTCTGCAGAAGGAACTAGTTAAAGATCTTCAGATCAACCTGGATTGCCCGACGACGAGGGTCCTCATAAGAGACACACACAAGAGAGACAGACACAGGGAAGACCGTGTGTTAAGAGGTTGGAGTGACGCGGCCACAAGCCCAGGGGCGCCCGACGTGCCGGGAGCTGGCAGGCACGGAAGCCTGTCCCCGGGCCTCAGGGGGCGTGTGCCCTGCCGCAGCAGGCGATGGGCCTCCTGGCCCCAGAGCGGAGCGCGTGCGTGTCCGTGGTTCTAGGCTCTGGTTTTGGCGATCTGTCACACAGCCTCAGGACCCCCGTACGCCCGGGTGTATGGCACAGGGACTGTCACAGCGGGATGGAGCGCCTGAGCTGTTCCCAGACTCCTGGAACCGGCCATGGTGGAGGCGACACGCTCTCGTTACAGCCTGAACCCTCTGGCACGCTGCGGCACGCGAGGGCACCGGTGCTCACGGGAACACGCGGCACGGGACGTCGTGACGGGGAGAAGGCAGGACGCGCGGCTCCGGGCCCTGCCCTGGGCCCCCCGCCCCGGCCCGCGGGGCTCACTCACTTCCCCAGATCGGGATGTCTCTGCTCTCCGCCTTCATCACGATGGACGACATGGTCATGGTGACGGGGATGGCATCGAAGTAGGAGGAGTGTGGAGCCAGGGTGAGGATGGCCGCCTCGGTGGGCGGGGCCTGCTGGCCCTTGACCACCACGCGGTGGAAGCCGCCGACGAACCACATGGTGCGCATGATGGCCTTGAGCAGGACGTCCACGACCCTGCGGGAGACGACACTCGTCACACGGGCTGAGCGCTGGGTCCCAGCCCCGCTGACCTCGCCGGTCACGCGGAGCCGGGCGGGGTCCCAGCGCCGACCCGCACCTGGGCGGCAGCTGCCACCGACTTCCTGGGGGGAGGGGCAGGAAGGTGCCTCCCTCCGAGCACCTGGCCTGCAGTGGCCCGGCCTTCCCTTCGGCCACGCCGGGCCGGCTCCGCCACACCGCCAGCAGCTTTGAGACGACACGTGGCCCAACCACAACGCGAGGCCACAGGCCGACACCGAAGATGCCGACGCCACAGGCGTCAGAAAGTGACGTGTTACGTTTCCAAATGTGAATGTTTTAAATGGAAACGACACATCAAAACAGTGAAACTGCACCCTAAAACCTGGAGCGAAAGCCAGAGCTGAGACCACGGCCGTGGGAAGCTCAGGCCTCATCTCCCGCTGGTCGTCGGTGGCTCCTGGAAGCAAATGGCCTTTTCTGGACGAAATGAGAGGAACAATAAATTTCGAAGATAAAGTAAAAACCAGCCTAGACTAACTGAATTGGTTTCCTCTTTACTCTCCCTGAGACACGTGAGGATTTAGGCGTTTGAACTTGAGGGTCCCCTTCTGTGGTAACCTCTGACACTTATGGCGTGTCAACAACACTACACGTGGCCGAGTGCTACCACGCGGGGCACCGCGGCTGCCACACGCCAGTCCCAGGGAGAATGGGTCACCGGGGCGTTCGAAGCTGGCAAAGTTGCTGCAGAAACGCAGGTGCTGTGAACCGTCCACACTGACACCCCTCGGGAGGAGCCGGGAGGCGAGGCCCCCGATCTGAGCGGTGGCCGGTGGCCAGAATGGCACGGGCCCTGTGGAGCCGCCCTCGTTTGCTGGGAATGGGAAGCAGCAGTACTGCGGTGACACTGGGCTGCCGGGGACGGAGCTGGCGCGCTCTGCGGCTCCGGCCACAGCGCTGGCAGACGTCCGTGCGTCCACGCCGCTCCTCAGTGAAACACGCACCGAAGCGAGTCGGCAGATGGCCACGGCGGCGTAAGGAGCAGGTGAGGCCATGGCGGGGGGAGAACAGGCACCAGCCGGGGGACGGTGGGGTCACAGGCGGGAGGGGACGGAAGCTGCTAAAACGTGCGGCTCAGAGTTCCATCTTTCTGTCAGACACACATCCACCACCTCAGGCCAAAAGTCCAAACACTACTCAAGAGAAACGTCCTGGGCGGAGACCGCCCCCCTCCCCCTGTCACGCACTGGACCCCTGAGAATCTGAGACGTGTGGGCAGAAGCAGCCACGTGAAGGGACAGACTACAACCCTGAGGAGCCCCGGAGCAAGCTCAGAAGAGGGGCTTAAAATCCCATCCCAGCATTGCCCCCGGGAGTCAATGGGGCGCCCGGAGGACGCGGACAGAAACACTCTCGGGGATCAGCGGCCTCACTACGGAAAGAGGGGATTCGCGAGAAAGGCTGGAAAACGAGAGGGAGCCATCTCCGTGTGGGGGGGGGCGGCAGCAAAAAGGGGGGCAGACGGTAAGATGGGAAGAAAATGGTTTGCAGGAACCATGTGAAGACACGCGCCTTCACCCGCATTGCGGTGCTGAGCAGAATGAATTTCTCAAGTCTCAGACACAGAGACTCTGAGGACTTTTCCAATTACCAAGGACAAAGAGAAGACCCTAAAAGCTGCCGGCCAGGAGCACAGGTCGTGGCGCCAGGGCCGGGCTGGGCAGGCAGCAGCCGCACCGCCGCAGCTCCGGGGGCGCGAGGCCCGGCACCGTGGCTCCTGGACCTAAGCGACCCGTGGGGCACGCGCGGGACGAAGACGCTTCCGGACACGGACCGCGGCGGCCTCTCCTGCGTGTCCGCTCTCTAAAAAGAGCTTCGTCCTCCAGAAAATTGTGAACAAACAAGGAAAAAGAAACAAACAAAACAAAACAGAACAAACAGAACAGAAGCACGCCCAGGAAATGGCAGTTTGTGCCCAAGAGGGCCGCAGCCGGGCAGCGGGGAGACACCGTGCCGGGAAGGGAAGGTGGCCCCGGCGGCGGCCGTGACCTCGCACTGAATTCTGAGGCTGTGCTCGGGGCTTTTCTAACAGGCAGAAAAAAGCTGTTTCGAAATTCCGTAAAACAGAAAAAAACACAAGGAAGCGAAGTTCAAGTACAAAGGCAGCTGATGTGCACGTGACTGAGAACCCCAGGCACAAGGACGGCAGACAGGTGACCGTGACCGTGCTGAGAATGCTTTCTCTCCCACGAGGCGTCCCTGCAGTGTGCAAATGCACGCTCACATGTGAGTGTGTACGTGTGTGAGCATGTGCAAGCACGAGCGTGTGCACGCATGTGAGTGTGTGAGCACGTGCCAGTGTGTGAGCGTGTGATCACGAGAATGCATGCAAGTGTGCGAGCATGTGAGTGCGTGTGTGAGCACGTGCAAGCGTGCAAAGCTGCCTTCTGCCGTGCACGACTTAGGGTCCGTCCTCAACAGACCAGAAACACCTTTTTCCTTGGATCATGGTGCCAGTGGCAGACAAACCACGAGCAAACGCAGCCCGCGCCCCGCAGACAGCGTACCCTGCAGACAGGGCACCCCGCAGACAGTGCACCTCACAGACAGCGCGCTCCGCAGATAGTGCACCCCGCCAAGGGCTGGGCCTGCAGACACACTGTCCACCGCCGCCCCCTTCACTGCTGGACTCCATCCTCCACCCAGTGTTTACTGGGCGCCCACTCTCCGCCAGGCACGGACAGCATGTCAGGGAAGCCAGGGAGAAACCCCCGCCCACCCGCAGTCCTCACTCTAGTGGGGGAAATTAAGGGTTTTTAAAAGTTAGTGAATTCTAAGTAAATTAGAAAGGGTCTCGCCGGGCAGGTGGGAACAGTGGAGCAGGGCGCTTGGGGCCGAGCGCCGAGGGACTCCGTGCCCATCCGTGTGGGGCATGGCAGGAGGCCTGGAGGGACACAGGGTGGGGACGGTGGGACGAGACCTTGACATGGGGGACCTAGACGGGACTCCGCGGGGCTGGGACTTCTCTTTGCAGAGGACCCCTTGGCTGCTCTGCCGAGACAGAGAGGGAGGAGGGCAAGGGACAAGCTGCCCTGGGACCCAGGACCGGGGGCAGGGGCCAGGGTGTCTGGAGGTGGACCCGGCACGTCTCCTTGGTGTAGACGGGTGGTGTGAGGGAGGGGATCCTGGTGATTCTCGGGCCTGGCTGCTGTGAACAAGGGTGACAGCCCTGTGGCAGAGGTGGGCTGTGGCTGCAGTGGGCGGGGCGATGGGAGCCTGGAACTCACCTGCAGACAGGTAAGCTCTGGGTGGGGCTGCAGGAGTGGTCTGGGAGCCCCTGGCCTGTGGGTGTCGTCTGTGTCCCAGAACTAGGGGGGCCCCCAGGAGGTGCAGGGACTCGCAAGAGCAGAGGTCGGGAGAGGGGACACAGCGAGCCAGATGCGAAGGGCCCGGGAGGGGGAAGGTGACTAGAAGCTGAGGAGACGGTGTGTCCAGGCCGAGGACGTGTCCTGACTCTGCACCCAGGGGTGACCGCAGGGCCTTGGTCCCCGAACGGGCAGGCGGTGTGAGCGGTGGGGGCCTTGGTGGCCATGACGTGCGCGTCTGACTTGGTCTTGCTGCAGCAGGGAGCTCGGCCACGGGAGAGGCGCACTGGCAGGGCTGCCCAGGCAGCTGGGCACTGACCGCTGCTGCGGGCCCTCGAGCCTCCACTCACTGCTGGGCCAGGCTGGCCCGGAGCGGGACGGTCCCGCCGGCCTCTCTGGGGCAGTCCGAGGCTATGACCCTGGGTGGGGAGGCTCCCAGGAGAGCAGAGCGAAGCTCGCAGTCAATTGGAGCCTGGCCCGGCCTCCTGTGGACAGACACGTGGCACCAGCAGTCGTCATGGAGATGGACTAGGTATGAGGCTGCCCTCTGCTGAGCACTGAACCGCGTCCCCTAAACGTCTCTGTCGAAGCCCCAACGCCGGCCCTGACTGCATTTGGACATAAGGTTAAATGAGGTCACAGGGTGGGGCTTTGGCCTGACAAACGGGTTTCTTCTGCACGACCCTCCCTGCCCTGTGAGGACCCACAGGAAGGTGCTGTCTGCAGCAGGAGGGGGCTCACCAAGACCTCCCGCCCCTGGGCCTCCAACTTCCAGCGCCCAGAAGTGGACGTCTTGTTTAGGTCCCTGGCCGGGGTTCGGGGAGGAGGCAGCCTGAGTGGAGGAGGAGCCCTCCTTCTAAACCACGTGGGTCAGCACCACCGTCACCGTCACCGTTGGCCCACCGAGCGGGTACTACTGTAAGGTGTTACTTTGTATTTTGAAAATAATTTAGATTAAGTTTCTTTGTGAAACTGTGTCATTCCTCCTTTCTTGGAAAGAAAGATTCTTATCGTGAGAAGGTCTGAATGACACTAACTTACAGTCAGCGAATGCTCCCTAATCTAACGCCAGTGGCTCAGAAATGCAGCTGTGCACAGCGCAAAATGACCCTTCCCCGGGCCGCACGGCGATGCTCCGTGCTGTGCAGAAGCGTGTGCCGGGACCGGCCGCTCCAAGCCCATCCCTCCTGGCTCCAGGGTCCGACTCGCGGGCACTCCGCGACGGCAGTATGGGTGCTGGCTGGCCGCTTCCCCGAGCACCGGTCCCAGCCCAGGCCGAGCACGCGTGAGCTCCCCGTGACATCGCTGTGTGGAGCCGAGGGCTGCGCTGCGGGCGAGTGTGTGGCGATGTGTGCAGCTGGGGCACACGTGCATGTGTGCATGCTCACACACATAGGAAATACACGCACACACGCAAACACACGTGCACTCACAACATACACATGCACATGCATGCTCACACACATGCGCAGGCATGCAAGCATGCACGCACGAATGTAAGCATGCGCAGCCACACACACGCACACACGCACATGCTCAAACACATGCAGACACTCACGCAGCACACGAATATACACACATGCGAAGACATGGAAGCACACACCCCCCCAAACATGTGCGGTCACACCTGCGCACACATGCGCATGCTCACACACATACAAGCACACATGTGCGCACATGCGTATGCACACTCACGTACCTGCAAATGCACACACGAAGCCACTGATATGTGTACACTGTGCATGTTCACGTGTGCAGGCATTCATGAGCACACACATGCAAGTACATGTGCACGCACGCATACACGGGTACAGACACGTGCACACACCCTTACACACCGGCACACACACGGAACGGTAGATACGTGGTCAGTCTCTGCGGGCCCCACACCTCCCTGGTGGGGTCTCTGAACCCAGAGGCAGCTGTGAGGCAGGGCTCCTGGAGCTGTTCGCTGCGGCCCATTTACTACCTGCTGAGGCCAAGCGAATTCTTCACGTCAAGAAAAGCCAAAGCTGCCTGGCGTCAGCTCGTGGGCCGGGAAACAGCCTCGTCGCCTACTCTGAAAAGGTGGAAAGTGCAGCTGGCAGAGAAGGCAGCGCCGGGAAGAGGGACCTCAGGCCAAAGGGCGGGGCTCACCCCTTCCCTCGCTGGCCGCTTGTCGGGGAAGCACTTTCCAGCGCCCGCAAGCCAGGCTCTGCGCTGGGGACAGGGTGGGCATCTGGCCACGGTCTGCCTTCAGGTCTAGGGAGCAAGAGAGGCCCTGGTTCTTCTGAAACTGAGAACGTGCAATGCCATGAGGAGGGGTCCACGAAGAGACTCGGACTGTCCCCGAGCCTGGCCACACCATGTTCGACTGCTCGGTGAAGCCTCGCACTGTAGCTGGCTGTCCCCACCCTGCGTGTCAGGGCTGTGTCTGACGGGCACGTGGGCACTGGGGACACCACCCCACATCAGGACAGGGGCTGGACCCCACGTGCCTGTCACGGGCACCCACGGCCTTGCGGCTCACACTTGCAAGAAAGGGTGAGGACTGAGTGACCCCTCTGACCTGTGACGGCCAGGCGGCAAGGTCTGGCTTTATGGGCCACAGGACCTCTACCCAAGCACTCCACTGCCAGGACGGCAGCCCGGGCAGCGTGTGAGTGTGTGCACGGGGCTGCATGCCACCAAAACTCACTCACAACAACAGGCGGCTGCCAGGTTCAGCCTGTGGGCCCTCAGCCGACCCCCACGCTAAACCAAATGTGTTCATTTCTGAATAAAGCGTTCAAGGACCCCCACGATTGATTAGAGCTGTTAAAACACACAGAGATGTCTGTCGACACTTTGGTTTTTGATAGGAACGATGCCATCTAAGCTGAGAATACCCGTTAAAACCCTGACAACACCTGACAGCCTCACTGCTAACGACTCACACCGAGCAAAGAGCCGCGTCAGGCACTTAAATAAACCAGGAAGTGCATGATCTGATTCAGTCCCCCGAGGCCCACGTTGGGCCTTTAGCTAAGGCACGTTCGCAGAGGGTCCCTCTGAGCACTGTGGTTCACGAACACGCAGAACGTGCAGCACGTGACAGGATGGGGTGCCTAGGCCTGTGAGGCACAGAGGGACCGGACGCGGGCAGTGGAGCGAGCCGCACAGGAGTCAGCAGCCTCGGAGGGCTGGAGACACAAAAGCGGGGAGTTCCGTGCCGGGGTGCAGAGACACGGGGGGACTCTGCTGGGGACACGGAAAGAGCAGCCGTGTGGCTCGCAGAGCTGTTGGCCTCAGGCCGTGGCAGGGAAGGGAGAGGCCACTGCCACAGGAGGCGGTGGCAGGAGGCCTCAGAGTCCTGGCTGGGAGAGAGCAGCCTGGGAAGAGGGGGGGACCGGGCCACACTGGGGAACAAGAGCAGCCATGTGCACGAGGAGGCGGCCGGTGACGCCAAGCCGGGCTCTGCAGACGAGGACTTACTTCCGCCACAAGGCCAGGGGCTGCCCGGGGTCCCTCTCCGCGGGTCCCAGCGAGGCGAGGAGTGCGAAGGGCCAGGCGAGCAGCATCATGAAGGCGGCCAGCAGCAGCCGTTTTAGCGTCATGGCTGCGATCTGGGGAGACACGTGGGGTCGTTTCAGAAGCTGCGGCCAGAGCACCTGACTCCCCTCTAGGCGGCGCGCATGCGCACCAGCCTGCCCTGGCCACGCTGTCCACTCAAAGACAGTGAGTGGGCCACTGGCCACCTGCCACCTCTTCCCACTCGTCCCAAAGTCCCAGAGGGATGGCATAGGAGCCGGGCGAGGTGCTCTCCTGACGTCAGCAGTGCTGG